ATGCTACACAGATCCTGGGAGAATGACTTGGTAAAGTCTAGTAAAGGAAGACCAATGACTAAGAAAGAGCTGATATGGTATTTTTAGACTTATTAGAACATAGTCATGAATACATTAAACTTGGAGATGTTTTCTGTTTGAAATGAGGTTTTTAAATGAAAATATTCAAGGAGGTGGTTGATTAATAATTTATATATGTTATATATAATCATTATTGTAAGACCTCTTCACAAACTACATGCATGATCTAATAATTTGTATGTGCCTCATGTGACACCAACCAAGTAAAAAATCATATACAAACTTAATTTCTTATATCTGGTTTGATTCTTCCTGTTCAAGGGAGAAAATTTGCAGAGTAAGAAATAACTGAATAGCCCTTTTAATGAGGTTGTGGCTTTGCAAGAGAAGAAAACATGATGGCCTCTAAAAAAACAGGCCTGAGAAGAAAAAAATTACATTGTGCTATAGAATTAGATTATGAACCATACATAAGAGTAACTGTGATCTTCAGAATCTTTTGTCTGAGTATGCTCCTGTGAGTGGCAAAAGGAGAGTTCTTTTCACTGCCGAGCAGTACCCTTCAGGCCCTGTAATGGGTATTATCATGTAGGATAGGCAGTGAGGAGCCCTGGCGATTTTAAGGGTGTGGGAGAGGAGGGAGTCAGATGTTTAGATTTTTTTGCTAAAGCAGGCCATTGCTACCATAGCATTGGAGAAATAATCTCATTCATGGCTGGTGGGAAGTAATATCAGCCAGTAGGACCCACAACTAGGTGATTTGCCTATTTCTATAAATTACAATAGCATATACACCTTGACCCAGTGATCTCACTTCTGGAAATTTGCCCTGCAGATATGAGTGCAAAAGTGAAAAATGACAATTCTACATGCTAACTAACTGCAGAATTAATTGTAATAACAAGAGATTGGAAAAAAATATAAATGTCCATCAGTAGGTGATGTGTTAAATAAACTATGATTCATCTACAGCAGAATAGTATGAGGCTGCAAAAAGAGATTGAGAACATTTTATGTCTTGAGATAGAAAAACCTTCAAAATATATTAGAGCTGTAATTATTATTATTATTTTTTGTAAAATAAAGGGAAATAAAAATATTTTTTCGTTAAAAAGTTCTGGAAGAATATGTACACAGATACACAAATTGTTACTTAGGGAGGGAGGCTAAAAGTTATATACTTTTCACTGAATACATTTATAGATAGTTCAATTTTTGAACAGTATAAGTGCCTTACTCAAAAGATGTTTTAAAAACTTTGAGGGGGTGGGGTAGATGGTGCAGCATTTGTGGAAAATGATATGCAGATTCCTCAAAAATTAAACACAGAAGTAAAATATGATCAGCAATTCCACTTCTATACCCCAAAAAAGTGAAATTAGGAACTTGAACGGATATTTGTACACCCAAATCCATAGCAGCATTATTCACAATAGCCAAAAGGTGGAAGGAACCCAAGTGTCAACTGATAGATGAGTGGATAAGCAATATTATTATTCAGCCTTAAAAGAATGGAAATTTTGACACATGCTACAACATGAATGAACCTCGAAGACATTATGTTAAGTGAAATAAGCCAGTCACAAATGGACAAATATTGTATGATTTGTCTTATAGGGGTTCCTAGAGTAGTCAAATGCACAGAGACAAAAAATAGAATACCAGAGTCTGGGGGAAGGAGAGAATGGGAAGTAATTGTTTACTGGATCTAGAATTTCATTTGGGGAAGATGTAAAAGTTCTGGAGATGGATTGTGGTGATGGTTACACAACAATGTGAATGTATTCAAAGCTGTAGAACTGGACACTTAAAAACGGTTAAAAAGGTAAATTTTGTTGAGATACACAATTTTTAAAAACTCATTTTTTTCATATATATATAGGCTAGATTAATAAATGAACAAGAGTGAGCCACAGAGAGCCCAAATGCTGCACACAGGAAATTTTCATTTCAGGTTTTCTGTTTTTCAGAGATGTTAGGCAAAAGTTCATCTGTCGCCCAACGTGGGGCTCGAACCCACGACCCTGAGATTAAGAGTCTCATGCTCTACCGACTGAGCTAGCCGGGCTTGCACAGCAAGGTCTTTTAATATCTCCGATCAAGAATTACTATGTTATGATGGTATTAGGACTCTATCCAGCTGGAGGTTTGAAGTAGGTTTCAGTCGGAGTATGATCCAGCCATTAAAAAGCGCTGAGCAGCTCGGAAACAAACTCTTGAGGATGGTGGGCCTGATCGTCTCTCCCACTTCTGTCGGTTTTCTACTTATTGTCCTTTGCCAGAGACCTAGCCCTTTTCCATCCTCAGGAAGTACATGGTGCGAAGGGAAACGTTGGCATCTTGATGCCAATGGCACGATAACCCTGTGATTTTTCAGTCAGGAGTTAAAAAGCAGCATCAGGGAGTGGGCGAAGGACGCAGCCGACACCTCCAATGTGGGCAAAACGCCACAATCTGGGGCTGGTGAACACACAATACAATATACAGGTGATGTGTTATAGAATTGTACACTTGAAACCTATATAATTTTATTAATCAGTGTCACTCCAATAAATCAATAAATGCATGTGAAAAACAAAACGCCGCCATGTGAAAATTTCCCCGGGGCTGTGGGAACTGAAAAAAAAAAAAAAAAGAATGCAAACCTTCGCTGGAGATGCCGGGGATCGAACCCGGGGCCTCATACATGCAAAGCATGCGCTCTACCACTGAGCTACATCCCCCACTCTGCACAGTGCTCTTTTATATCTTCTCTTAGCACTTTCTTTGTGCAAGGCATGTGTGGATTGATGATCTCCCGGGGTTGCGGCAACCTAGAAACTGCAAACGCCAGCGAGTAGTGTCGCGAGGGTTTCCAGAGTCCTCTACTAAATGACTACTGGGATACGGACCTCGACCGAAGGAGGGAGAGGGCCCCAGGAAGGACTAGGCCGGTATAAACACCTGGAGGCAGCGATGGAAAAAGAAGGGAGCAGTCATTTGACGCCATGCCCTAAATAAATTATGAGCCGAAAAAGAAAAGAACACCTTGTGCAGGATGCTACGTCTATAAAACAAAAAGAGGGAGACGTGTAGTAAATATATTTGTATAAAATAATTCAGAATTGCTTGGGATGGGGAGGGGACTGGGGTCTAGGCGATAGGCAGACTTTTAACTATAAACCGCTCTGTGTATCTAAATTTTGAATCACGTCCAAATTAATTTAATCCAAGAAAAGTGTACGGAGCGCCTACTAGGTACCTGGAACTGCTCTAGAAAACTGGTGGTCCAGCGTTGAACAAAACTTACACAGTCTAATCCCTCTAACAGCTCGCATTCCAAAGGAAGTAGAGTGCTAGAGAGAACATTGAGCCAGCGTTTAGCGAGAAATTTGGTAAGGTGTGATTGTAAATAGGCTTCATTGAGAAAAGTAACATTTGAAACAAGACTTCAAGGAGATGGGAAGTGAACCATGCGAGTATCTGGGATTAGAGAGGTCCAGTTAAAGAGAACAGCCAGTTCAAAGGCTCCAGGTAGGATCTTTCTGAAGTGTTGCAGGACTAGCAAGGAGGTACATGTGGCAGGAGTGGAGTCAATAGGAGACAGCGATAAGAGATGAGAGTAGAGAGGAGGCCTGGTGCAAGGGATGGGGAGGAAAAAAGGGGTACGTATTTTAGACAGTAGTAAAGACTGACGTTTACTCCAAAAGGTGGGAGCCACTGGAGGGTTTGAGCAGAGAAGGGCCATTAAAAAAAAAACACACACACAAAACATTTTAACAGGGTTGTTCTCACAGCTGGGTGGAGAAGATAGGGCAGCGGAATGGGACAGAAGGGGAGAGACTGTTGCAATGGAGGGAGTGAAAGATTCGAGGACATACTGAGGAGTTGGATGTGGAAGCCAGGTATTCTAGGGTTCCTGGGCTGGGTTTGTGTCCTGTAGTGTCAGCAGGGAAAGGGTCATCAGGCCTGTAAAGTGTGAGAGATCACAAGGGATTGAGTACGGACAGAAGTCCAAGGACTGAGCTGATGCAGGGAGAAGAGATGAAGGTAGCACGCCATGGAGCTGTGGAGAATGCCTCCAAGGCGCTGAGAAAGGGTGTCAGGAAGGAGGTAGCATCAGATGAGAGGGTAGGTGAGGTGAGGCCTGGGAAGGGCCTCTGCCTTTGGGTTGGGATCGTTGAGGTCACTGGTGACTTTAACAAGAGCAATCGCTCTGAGGAAGGTGGGGCGCAAGCTTGGCCCCGGTGGTCTCTGGGGGGGGGGCATAAGGAGAGAGGGGATGGAAGTAAATAATACTAGCAGTCCTGGAGGGGTGCTGTGGCGATAAGGGGGGTGTAGGATAACATCGAGTAAACAGGGAAAATGTATTATGTGTTATTTGCTAAAAAAAAAAAAAAAAAAAAAAAAAAATAAACAAGGCGGCGGGCACTATCGCAGGAAAGGTAGCTGCTGAGGTGGATACAAGGTCATGTTTGGGGGTGGGGAACAAGAACCAGGTTCCAGGCTCCAAATTTAGCTGAAGCACAGATTCAGAACAAACCTGCACGCAGGGAACTTGACACCGAGGCCTGGGCGCCAGGCCCTCGCGCGGACCGTGCTGGGTCGGCCCCAGGCAGCAGCCAGGCGTGTGCGCCCACCTGTCCCCGCCCGTTTCCCACTGCTGACTGGGTCAGATTGGGACAGCCTGGACCTGCCTGCGGAGGGTCTGAGGGAGCCGGACGACGGAGAGAGGGCGCCGCAGGACCGAGGAACCAGGGCCAGGGACTGAGGGGTCCAGAAGCAGGGCGCAAGGCCCTGGCCCTTATTTGGATGCCCTCGCCGCGCTACTCGGCCCACCCTCAAAGCACACCTTCCTGGCGAGTTTTCCAGGCCGGAGCGCTCCCAGTGCCAGTCTCTGCCAACAAGTGTTAGCCACGCCCTTCCTCCCAGTAGGCGAGGGGAAACCCGCCCCAGAAGCCGTGATCCCAGCGCCGTACTATTGGCTCCCTGCTTCAACAGCGCCGCCCGACTTGGGTGCACTGAAGACGCGCATGGCCGCAGTGGGGCCGCGAACCGGCCCGGGCTCCGGGGCCGAGGCCCTGGCACTTGCGGTAGAACTGCAGGGCGAGGCGACGTGTTCCATCTGCCTGGAGCTCTTCCGAGAGCCGGTGTCCGTCGAGTGCGGCCACAGTTTCTGCCACTCTTGCATCGCGCGCTGCTGGGAGCGCCCAGGCGCGGGGTCCACCGGCGTCCCCCGCTTGCTGCCCTGCCCGCAGTGCCGCGAGCCCGCGCGCCCGGGCCAGCTGAGGCCCAACCGGCAGCTGGCCGCGGTGGCCGCACTGCTGAGGCGTTTCAGCCTGCCCACCATCGCAACGGGCGAGAGCGGATCCCCGGAGGCCGCGGTGGCTGGGTGCTCACAGCACGGCGAACAGCTCAAGCTCTACTGCCAGGACGACGGACGCGCCATTTGCGTGGTGTGCGACCGCTCCCGCGAGCACCGAGCACACGTCGTGTTACCGCTCGATGAGGCTGTGCAGGAGGCTAAGGTGAGCGCCAGACCCACCCCTGCAGGTACCCACTTTCCCGGGTCCCTGTCTTGCCCTCCTGAGCACGCAGTGCAGACGACAGTCAGGCAGCAGACTGGAGGCTTAGGTGAGCCCTTGCCTCTTTTCTCCTTCTCAGAACTGGCCCCGGGGCTGAGCATGGCTATTCTGTCACCCCCACAATACCAATACCCCCTACCCTCCTTGAGTTTCCTTCTGCGCTCCAGACTGGACCTCCTGGGCGATGTCCCACAGACTTAGCGATTTTCTTTCTGTCCGTCCCGGTCCTCTAGTGGCGACTTGGGTATACCCACACATCCGCTCCCCCACTCTCGGCTCTTTCCCCGAGTGGGAAGACCTTCCCAAGAGGTCGGGGAAGGGTGTGTGGCTCCATGGTTGAGTAGGGCAAGGAGAGAGCCGTCAGGGCTGTGTCAGAACTGTTGATTCTGGGGTTCTTTCTTTCCTGCTTCCTTGCTGGGGACTCAGCTGAGGTATGAGTGGAAGCCTGGGACACACAGTCCGTATTTCTTTGCTCCTTACACTCCCCCATCCCGTCCACACAGAGGGATTTCTGATGGTGGGGAGGAGAGCTGAGATGACAAGGTGGGTTAGCCCGCAAGGGGTGGGAGGGGCTTGTGTTTCAGCCTGAATTTGTGCCCTGATGGTCTTGGGGAAATGAGACCCTTGGGCTTTTGGCGTCACTCTAAAGATGCCTTGTCCTCCTTTGTAAAGTCAGCGCAGGCTGTATTCATCCTGTCCAGAGATGAATAACCGTCTCCTCCTCAATGAGCAGGGCCCTCCTTTTCTTCTGGATGGCTCCAGGAAAGCACCGGTGTGGGGTTCGAGAATCCTCTCTACACAGTCTCCCTTCTCACTCTCCCGCAGGAGCTCCTGGAGTCCAGGCTGAAGGTCTTGAAGAATGATCTGGAAGATTATGAGGTGTTTCGTTCCACCGAAGAGAAGGAGAGCAAGGAGCTCCTGGTGAGCCCCACTCCCCCCAACAACAGAGGGCCACCCACCACCCTGACATTGTTTTGGTGTGTGGTGTTGGAGTGTGTGCCTGTGGAATAGCAGAGGTGGATTTTGGAAAGATAATAGAATGCATATTATAAGAGGTGACCGTATATTACATAACCAGAGCTTTTTGAAAGTGAAAGGAAGTGCTAAAATAAACCTTCTAGAACAGCTGAATTAAACTGGAACTGTCCTAGTGACTCAGGATGTATAGTCATTTTAATATTACATAACACTCCAAATTAGGGCCTTGGAGCATCTCCTAACTGAATGTAATAATATTTTTGCAGAGAAACATGAATATTCATACTAAGTGAAAATATAAATACAGTAAATAGCCTCATGTTAGCCCAGGGCATTTTTTGCCACCAAAAGAGTTATGAAAAAACTCTTTTTACCCTCCCCCCATTTGTAAGAGTTTTTTGGGTCTTGAAACTAGGCTAAGGGAAAGGGGGCTCAATGGGTGTCAGAGCTGCTAAGGAAGTCTGGCGACCGGTTTCCAGCAGCCCGTTGCCCAGCCCAGTGTGCCAATCGCCCCCTGGTGGGTAAGAAAACTCAGTTCTTAGCTCAACAAATAGTTGTTAAAAGAATGAAAAGATCTGTGAAAGTCTGTTAGGACATGGCCATTCAGTTCTGGGTTGGGAATTGGAGAAAGAGGAACTTGAGGATCCTCCTATCTTCAAAGTGGGGAGGTGGTGGCATAGAGGAGAAGACCCTGAGTTCAGATGCTCCCGTCCTGACCTTCAACTGCACCCGGTGCACCTGCCTCCAATGGGCATCCCAGCCTTCCCATCTGATCATTCACTACCCACCCCAAGGAAGAACTCAACTCTCATTTCCAGACTCCCACTCTCCTCTTCTGGAGAAAGGAGTAAGCATGTGGTTCTTCCATCCATGACCCAGAGGGCCTCCCACAGTGTGGGTAGCTTCATGATCTCTGACCCCACCCGCCATGACACTGCTTAGCACCTTCTACTCTGTCCCCTGCCAATCTACTACCCCTCTAGCCCCCACATTCTTTAGAATTACAAAATATTACCTGCTTAATAAGACAATAGAGGTAGAGGACAACTCTTGCTGCATGACAACAAAGAGAATGAATACTTTTATTTGAAAATGCTCTTTCCCTGGCCAGTTTGGCTCAGCGGTTAGAGCGTCAGCCCCGGGAGAGTCCTGGGTTAGGTTCCCGCTAAGGGCACGTACCTCAGTGCAGTTTGTCCCCAGTCCCAGTTGGGGTCGTGTGGGTGGCAACTACTTGATGTGTCTCTCTCACATTGATGTTTTTCTCTCTCTCTTCCTCTCTCCCTCCCACTCTATCTGAAGATACATGCAAAAATATCCTTGGGTGAGGATAAAAAAATTTTTTTTTAAAGTGAGAATGCTCTTATCTTCTTAGGAGTTCTCAACTGGGACAATTTTGGCCCCCAGGGGACATTTGGCAATATCTGGAGATATTTCTTTCTTTTTTCCATTTTATTTTGTTTTGTTTTATTATTTTTTAAACTTTATTGTTGGCTGTATTACACATTTCCCTCTTCCCCCCACCCCCTTGACCCACTCCTCCTAATCCCACCCCCTCCTGCTTTCCCCACACTATTGTCTATGTCTATTGGGAATGCATATATGCATATAAGTTCTTTGATTTTTCTCTTCCCACCCACCTTCCCCCTTCCCTTTGAGGTTCATCAGTCTAAAAACCAATTTGTATTTCCTAATCCCTTCATCTTTTTCATCCAACTCCCCTCCCATCTGGCAACCAACAAAATGTTCTTTGTATCTATGAGTCTGTTTCTGTTCTGCTTGCTCATTTTGTTTGTAGATTCAATTATTGATAGATATGTATTTATTGCCATTTTATTGTTCATATTATTTTTTATCTTCTTCAAGAAGACCTATCAACATTTCATATAATACTGGTTTAATGGTGATGAACTCCTTTAGCTTTTTCTTGTCTGGGAAACTCTTTATATGGCCATCGATTCTAAATGAAAGCTTTATAGGATAAAGTAATCTTGGTTGTTGGCTCTTGCTTTTCATAACTTTAAATATTTCTTGCCACTCCCTTCTGGCCTGCAGAGTTTCTTTTGAGAAATGGGTTGATAGACTTATGGGAGCTCCATTGCAGGTAACTGCTATTCTCTTGCTACTTTTAAGATTCTCTCTTTGTCTATAACCATTTGCATTTTGATGATGATGTGTCTTGGTGTGGTCTTCTTTGGGTTCATCTTGTTTGCGTGTCTCTGTGCTTTCTAGACTTGTATGTCTGTTTCCTTCACTAAGAGAGGAAAGTTTTCTGTCATTATTTTTTCAGATAGATTTTCAATTTTTTGTTCTGTCTCTTCTTCTGGCACTCCCATGATGCAAATGTTGGTATGCTTGAAGTTGTCCCACAGGCTCCTTATACTATCCTCATTTTTTTTTTGTATTCTCTTTTCTTTTTGCTGTTCTGGTTGGGTGTTTTTTGCTTCCTTATATTTCAGAATTGATGGTTTGCTTCTTGGCTTCACCTACTTTGCTATTGATTCCCTGTAAATTATTCTTTATTTCAGTTAGTGCATCCTTCATTTCTGACTGATCCTTTATTATGCTCTTGAGGCCCTCAGTAAGTTCATTGAGCATCCTTATAAGCAGCTTGCATCTGTTAAATTGCTTATCTCCACTTCATTTAGTTCTTTTTCTGGAGTTTTGTTCTGTTCTTTCATTTCAAATATGTTTCTTTGTCTCCTCATTTTGGCTGCCTCTCAGTGTTTCTTTCTATGTATTAGGTAGAGTTCCTATGTTCTCCTAGGCTTCCTAGGGTGGCCTGTTGTAGTAGGTATCCTGTGGGGTCCAGTGGCACAGCCTCCCAAATCACGCAGCTGGGCCTTTGAGGTGCACCTCTGATGTGGACCTTACCCCCTCTATTGTAATTGAATCTTGATTGCTATTGGCACACCAGTGGTAGAGTTTTACTCAGGCTAATCAGCTGCAAGGACGGGCTGTGCCCACTAACCACCGACCTTTGGCTACCTTGGATGATCAGCTGTGCAGGGGCCCACCACACAGAGCAAGACTTACTTCAGCAGGGCTTTGGTACCCATTAAGTCCACTCCTTGAGTGTGTCACTTGTGAAGGTGGTTGGGTGGTGGTGCTTTGATGTGGTCTGAAGCTGTTCACTGGGTGTGCTGGCTCTGGGGCAAGGTCAGTCTCTGCCTGTGTTCTACCCAGGGCCACCAGGCATAAGCTACAAAGGGATTTGCCCAATGGCTGCTTCTTGTGCTGGGCTTGGAGGTGCCCAGGCAAAGCCAAGCTGTGAACCAAGACTCGCTGCTTCTAGTGCCAGGCCTGGGGCCACTTAATGAGAGGTATGGGGCTCTCTGAGAATAGATGCTGCTTGTTTGAGAAAATTTAGGAAAATCTGAAGCAGGAGCCAAAACAGATCAATTCTATAGTAAAGCTACTGGAAACAGCTTGGGTGGGCCTGAAAGTTGGGTGGGACAGGGCCTCAGGGAATCACCAGGGCAGAGAAAACAGTATGAGCCAAGTTGCTAGAGTCTCAGAGATGGCGGCCCTCCACCTGCCCTGTGGGAGAAGAGCTCACCAAAGGAACAACAGCCTCCACCAGCATGTCTGTCCAGGAGAACGTTGCCTCTCCAGTCCTCACCTCGATGCCAAGTAACTCAGTTCTTCCTTGTATGTCTCTGGTGCCTTTCAAGCTGCCTTCCCAATGTTGGAGCCCAGAAGGAGCAGGTCTGAGTAAATTCATGCCTGAGCCCTTTAAGAGGAGCTGCCTGGGGATCCAGAAGCCTCAGCCTTCCTCAGCCTCAGCCTCCCTCAGCCTCAGTTCCTGCTGGTTTTTCCAGCCAGAAGTTATGGGGACTTTTCTTTCTGGCACTGGAACCCTGAGCTGGGCTCCTGGTGTGGGATGGGGACCCCTCACTCCTCAGAGAGGACCTTCCTAGCCAAGGTCTCTTCCTGTTTTTTATCTGCCACATGTTGGTGTGGGACCAGCCTGTCCACATCTCCTATAAGTCTCGATGTGGCAGCTTCTTTAATTTCGTAGTTGTAGGGCTTCCATTCAGCTTGATTTCAGTTGGTTCTTAAGGTATGTGTTCTGTAGTTTAATTGTAATTTTGATGTGGTTGTGGGAGGAGGTGATACCGCATTTACCTATGCCGCCATCCTGACTGGAAGTCTGGAGATATTTCTTGTTGTCAACACTGGCACAGGAGTGCTACTGACATTTAGTGGTAAAGGCCAGAGTGCTGATTAATGCACAGGACAGCTCTCCACAATAAAGAATTATCTGGTCCCAAATGTCAATAGCTCAGACATGGGTAAACCCTGATTTAGAGTATTTTGGTTAATATTGTTCCACTTGTGTTATTTCCTTAGGAGGCCATATGATACAGTTGCAAGAAATTCAGATCCTGAAGTCAGACTCCCTGGGTTAGAATCCTGGCTCCCCACTTACTGGTGATGTGCTTCTCTGTCTCTCTCCTCATTTGTAAAATGGGATGAGAGCGCACCCACATCATTGGGTTGTTGTCAGCGTTGAGTGAGTTTACCCTGTGAAGCGCTCCATGCTGCAGCTGCCAGCTTGCCCAATGTCCTGATGATGAAGGTTCTGGGGGAGCCATAGCCTGAACCCACGTCTCCTGAATTCAAAATCCACTCATAGTCTCCTCTTCCAACCATCCTTTCCTCTCTTAGAGGTTTTTAAATAAGAGGAACTGTGACAGCGTGTCTTGGAGGAATGGGATCCTTCTCACATCTCACTAGCCTGTGCCTGAAAACACAGGAGTGGAAATCCTGTGGATAATGGAAATGAAAATAATAGAATATGAAGCCTGCACAGCATATTCTCACTTGTGCCATATGGGTGTGCTGCTACTGGCATTGATTTTCCTTCCCTCTTCCTTTTCTGCAACTCCCAGATTTTATGTTATGAGCAAGTGTTACTTTCATAATTGTTAAACAGAAATGGTGCTCTTTAAAATGAAGTAAAGGCCCTGGACAGGTACCTAAGTTGGTTAGAACATCATCCTGATACACCAAGGTTGTGGATTCATCTCTGGTCAGGGCACATATAAGAATCAACCAGCAGTAGGGGGAAAAAGGAGAAACATCTGTAACAAAAATAAATTAATTAAAAACAAAAAAGAATCAACCAAAATAAGTAGAACAACAAATTGATGTTTTTTTCTCCCCCTTCTTCTCCCTCTCTAAAGTCAAATTTAAAATGACTTTAAAATGAAGTAATGTGAGGAGTGAAAGTTGGAGGGGTGATGAATGTTAAAAACCAAATTCTACTGAGTATATTTTAAAGATCTTATTGGCTATATTCAGTGATTGATGAATTGGGCAGCATCTAATCTAGCAGATAGAAAGGAGTCCCAAAAAGCTGTATAAGGCAAGAATTTTTTTATTTTTATGTATTGATTTTAAATAGAGGAAGGGAGGGAGGGAGAAAGATTTGTTGTTCCACTTATTCTGTATGTGCCCTGAATGGGGATTGAACCCACAATCTTGGTGTATTAGGACAATGCTCTAACCAACTGAGCTACCCTACCAGGCCAAGGCAAGAGATTTTCTAAGTAGAGGTAGCAGGAACAAGGAAGCAAAAATACAAAGAAACAAAGAAACAAACAAACACACAAAACGAATTGGTTATTGCAAGGTTACTTTCTCTATAGGGGATGGCAGGTTACTGAACAAAGGCAATTCCTGATTGGCTGGTTTAAGATTACATTTGTGGGATAACTGTGATGCTATAATGACATCTGTTTAGTGAGGTGGGGCTTAGCATAAGCAACTCCTTTTAGGCACTGTTTTTTTTGTATGTAACACATAATAAATGTGTTTGGGGAAGAAAGAGTGACCTCAGTTTAATATTTAGAGTGGCCCCAGGAGGCACTTATTTGTTGTTCCCACTTTTCAAATGAGAAAACTGCAGCCCTGAGTAGTTCTCAGGTGAGTTTGAAGTTGACTTACATTGGTGGAAGAGCCCAGGTACAGACACATGGGCACATCTCTGACAGGGGAAGTGAGAGCAAGGGTTGAAGCTGCTGTGTTCTTAGAATTGGGATATTTAAGTTAGAGACTGTGCAGGGTGTGCATTTGTGAGTGAGCCTCTGACCACTGAGCAGTCAGGCAGATGGAACCCTGCCCTGTGGGATGGCTCAAGGCATCAGTCCACATGCCAAGTTTTGATGCCCATGTTTCTCACCTCTGCAACTTCTCTCCTGAGACAGAAGCAGATGGCAGCTGAGCGAGAGAAGGTGGGGGCAGAGTTTCAGGCACTGCGGGCCTTCCTGGTGGAGCAGGAGGGCCGGCTCCTGGGCCGCCTGGAGGAGCTGTCCCGGGAGGTGACACAAAAACAGAATGAGAACCTGACCCAGCTCGGGAATGAGATTGCCCAGCTATCCAAGCTCACTAACCAGATCCAAGAGACAGCTCGAAAGCCTGACCTTGACTTTCTCCAGGTGAGTCTGGCTACCCTGGGCTTTGAGTCATTTATCCTAAAGCATTGTGAAGGCAGTGAGAACAGAGACAGATCATGTGACTTTAGTAGATTCACACAATCTGAAGCCAAAGGGGACTGGAGAGAGGTCCCCTGATTTTCCTGGGGTTAGAGGTCTAAAGGGATACGATAAAACTTTTCTGTGAATAACAATAATATATCTTACCCCATATTCCAGTATGTACAAACTGGAGACAAAAGTCTCAGGAAATAACACCTTTACTAATGTGATGTACTTAGATGTTTTTCTATTCTATTTTATTTCTTTTTCTTTACTGATTTTGAGAGAGAGGAAGGGAGAGGGAGAGAGAGGTAGATACACTGATGAGAGAAAACATCAGTTGGCCTCCTCCTGCATGTCCACCACTGGGGATTGGGCCCACAACCTGGGCATGTGCCCTGACCAAGAATCGAACTGGTGACCTCTTGGTGCATGGGTCGACGTTCAACCAGTGAGCCACACTGGCTGGGCTCTATTTTATTTCTTAAAAAAATAAAATAAAATAAAATTTAAAAAGTCACAATCTCCTAAATAAAATTTATAAGTCACAGTGGGTCAAAAACACTCATTTAAAAGACATTGGTTTGAATGAGCAGTCACTGCATAAAAGCTATGATTTATTTGATGGTGTCAAGAACAGACATAATGGTGGGTTCCAGCACATGGCTCCAGTGATGACTCTGTAATGACAGGATCATTTCAGAGCTGTGAGCAGGGTCAAGGAATTCACCATGTTGACGAGGCACCCAGATGCCAGCCACAGTGGGAAGCCCTTGGCACCTGGGCCCATGCAGGCAGTGGGGTGTGGAATACTTGCTTACTGACTATTCCTCTGGAAGCAGGGCAGGGGGCAGTTTTATTTTTTCAAAGGTGAATGGAGGTTACCTGATGTTTTGGTTTTCTTTCATCTTTCTTTCCAGGAATTCAAAAGCACTCTAAGCAGGTGAGTGGACCTAAAAATTCCTTGGGACCCTCTAAGCTGGTTCTTCTTTTCTGCTGTCTGTTCTCTTTATTCCCCACCCAAAACTTCTTACCTCCCAATTCCCTTCTGCATTAGCTCTGTACTTTCTGAGGCAGAAGTCCCTGTGCCTGGTTGTGGGTATTGGCATGAGATCAGGTTCTCCTTTTTAGACCTCTACCCACCAAGACGATCTCCTTATCCTAATTGTGGGAGTGGGACAGTGTTGGTGGGCCTTCCTCCTTGTCCTGCAGGTGCAGCAATGTGCCTGCCCCCAAGCCAAGCACAGTCTCCTCTGAGATGAAGAATAAAGTCTGGAATGTTTCCCTCAAGACCTTTGTCTTAAAGGGACTGCTCAAGAAGTTCAAAGGTAGGGCCCATATGTAGGTCTGGGCCATGAGATACCAGTGACAGTGGTGTGGTTTTGGTGGTTTGGGGTCCTCAGATGTGCCTTTCCAGAAGCTGTGTGAGAAAACCAGAGCTGAGGTGTTTGCTGACTAATTTTTCAGGCCCCCTCAGGGCACAAAGCTTCCCCTGGGACAGACAAGATAGAGGGGCATTGGGGGCAGAAAGAGGGATGAGGAAGGAGATCTCAGGTCTGACTGGCTCCACGCAAAAGATGGAGGGGATGGACAGGGAAAACCTGAATACTGCCTCTCCCCACCTCTGTGCTGGGCCCAGTGCCTCTGGCCTATCTGGGGAATAAATGAGCCAGTGGGGCCATAAATGTCAGAGGAGGTGGTGTCCCTGTCATTGTCAGACAATCTCCTGTGTCATTCATGCACGACCTGCTTTGTTTTCCTCCTCAGAGGATCTTCGTGGAGAGCTGGAGAAAGAGGAGAAAGGTACAATCATGGTGGTAGTGAGTGCCTATTATTTGGCCACATAGAGAATTCACTTCCTGCTGGTGACTGTCTCTCTGGGCTTTGTTCATGGTTGGTTCCTTCTGCCTGTCCACCTCAGTGACTCTGCCATCTACTCCCCTTTCCCCCTTGTCATTACCTCATAGCACTGACTCGTTCAGGCCACAGTGGGGCCTGTAGGCTTATGGTCCAGAGCAGGAGTGCCCTGTACCTCAGGATACTTAAGATGGGAAAGGCTGTGTGTCACCTAAACTAGTCTCTCTTTCCCCTGTCCCCAATTCCAAACTTACTGAGACCTCTTCTGGGGATTGGGGTTGTGTGCAGGGGTAAGAGGAAGTAGGAGGAAACTGAAGGAAAGGGAGGTAGTTCTTACTCCTGCAGAGCTCTGGGGTGAGTGGGATCCAACCCCACAGGGAGGGGAGGGCTAAGTTAGACTTTGCCTGGGAAGAATCTAAATAAGCTGAGTCAGACTATGTCCTGCCTCTGCTCAGAATTCTGCATTGGCCCCTCTTACTCAGTAAAGGCTGGAGTTCCCAGAGTGATCTTCCAGGCCCCAGGGGATCTGGCTGTACTGCATACTTTCCCCTGGTAACTCTGTGGGGCTCCTGGAAGACACCAATCACACACTTACCTGAGACTGGATCATGCTTCACCAGACAGCCACCTATCTGGTTTCTTCACCTTCTGTATGTCTTTGCTTAAATGTACCTTTTCAGTGAGGCCTTTCCTGGACTTTCTAGTTGAAATCACAGCCTGCTGTCCTGATCCCTCTTCTATATTATTTATTATTTTAAAAAATCATTTATCATCTCTATTCCCCTCGCCCTAAGAAAGGAAGCTGCAGAAGGGCTGGGATTCCCAGGGTCTAGCACAGGTCTGGAACATTTTAATACTTATAAGTGAGCATATTTGAGCTTTTTATTACGGAAAATTTCAAACATATACTAAAGTAGAGAGATGAGCATAACAAATATTAAGTACTCATCATACACCCTCAGCAGTTATGACTAACATCTCTACCTATGTCTTTTTATCGGATTATTTTGAAGCAAATCACAGATAATATCATTTCCATAAATATCGCAGTATTTGATCTCTAAAGAGATAGGCTTTAAAAATATGCTTATATTGATTTTATAGAGAGAGGAAGGGAGGGGAAGAGAGAGGAAGGGAAAGAAGGATGGAGGAAGGGAGGGAGAGGGAGAGAGGGAGAGAGAGAGAGAAACATCTTAATCTGTTGCCTCCTGCAGGAGCCTGTAATCTGGGCATGTTCCCTGACCCAGGACCTCTGGGTGCATGGGACCATGCTCAACCAACTGAGCCACACCAGCCAGAGATAAAAAGATTTAAAAACCATTATCATAATTAGAAAAATTGATGATTCTTTTCAGTATCTTAGGTGTTTGACAATTTGATTTCAGTATATATTTATTAGGGGGGTGCGGGCAGGAATAAGGGGCAGGGGCTATGCAAGGGGCCTGCATGGACTGTCTCTCCCTGCCTCCCCCACTGCAGTGGAGCTGACCTTGGACCCAGACACGGCCAACCCTCGCCTCATCCTCTCTCTGGATCTTAAGAGTGTGCGCCTTGGGCAGCGGGCCCAGGACCTGCCCAACCACCCGCGTCGCTTTGATACCAACACTCGAGTCCTGGCGTCCTGCGGCTTCTCCTCTGGGCGGCACCACTGGGAGGTAGAAGTGGGCTCCCAGGATGGCTGGGCTTTCGGCGTGGCCCGAGAGAGCGTGCGCCGCAAGGGCCTGACGCCCTTCACTCCCGAGGAGGGCGTCTGGGCACTGCAGCTCAACAGCGGACAGTACTGGGCTGTAACCAGCCCTGAGCGGACTCCCCTCAGCTGTGGCCACCTGTCCCGCGTTAGGGTGGCGCTGGACCTGGAAGTGGGGGCCGTGTCCTTCTACGCCACGGAGGACATGCGCCACCTCTACACCTTCCGTGTCAACTTCCAAGAGCGTGTGTTCCCCCTTTTCTCTGTCTGCTCCACTGGCACCTACTTGCGAATCTGGCCTTGAGGGACAGTGCTTAGCCTCCCAGAGGGAATGGGTCAGTCAAGAACACCTTCTCCTCGCTGCCAATGGGAAAGGGAGCCTCCTGGTCACTTTGGGTCTGCCCTTCACTCTTCCTGCCCCAGGATACCTTAGAGAGGCTTCTGGAGTCCAAGCATTAGAAGCACGAGACTGTGAAAGGGATTCTGTGTTCAAATGAGCAGAAGAAGAGGTGCCTTGGATCCCCAGGGCCTGTCCTCTACCTGTTCCTGGCATGTGGATTTGGTACCAGCTGTAAGGAGGTAGAGGCAGGTAAGGACAGGAACCCTGTTGTGATAGGGTGCTTCCTCTTACTGGGGCTTACAGCTTAGACTCAGCAGAACCTCTGTCTCCCTGGAACATCCTCAAACCCTGGTCCTGTGTTATCCTCAGTTGCAAGTGGCATATTTGGGGCCAGGCCAAACAGGTTCATGATCACTTATTTTCTGCCTTGTGAGCTGTCAGCTCTGCCTTCAAAGACCCGAATCTAGCTGGCCTAACCAAATCATCTACTCAGGGAGGAGCACTGTGCTCCCAGCTCAGAAGACATTCTGGGCCAGAACTAGGAGACCCTTAACATGTACACGAGGGAAAAGCCCCAGACAACAGTATATAGGCATGGCTACCCCCTAACACCCATAAACTGATGATATCGAGTGAAATGTACATCCCCAGCCAGAGTGACAGCCACGTGTTCTCAGAGATGCCTAAACCTCTCTCAAGTGCCAAAGTACAGTCTCTCTGGGTAAGGATCCCAAAGGTTCTGGAATTTTGAAACACAAGAGAGTACTCAGTTTTACAGATGCAACTAACAATGTCATAGAAAGCAGAGCACAAATATGCCCAACAGATTATTTCTGGAACTTGCCAAATGTATGCCAACAGCAGAGGACCCTGGTGTTAAGACTAACTCAGCCTGTGCCCTGGTGTCTGTTATCACCCTGGCTAATTGTTTCCCAGCTTCCGTAAGGTTAGACTTCTGAGAGGGTGGTGGTAGGCTGTTCCTTGCTTAGTGCTCCCCAGGGAAGGGGGATGGAGATGGAAATACAGACTATGAGCTCATTTCTATGGTGGCTTAGCTCATTCTTGATTAACCCAGTCTGAGTGCAAAAGCACAAGTATGAGCAAGAATTTTTGCCAGAGGAAGTGAGCATGTGTGCTTCTCTATGTGAGAAATGTGCACACATGTGTTTATATCAGATTGTGGGGGCAGTGGGGTGTGTGGATTTTGGAGAGGGCATGTATGAGCACATGCATAGGGTTTAGGTATTGAAACTGACCTAGGTCAATTAGGTCAGACCTTATTATTGACTTCTTGTTAAATGTTAACCACCCCATATTTAGATGATGGCCATAGGTTTCCAACTCCACTAATGGGCTGCTTAGCTAGATGAAAGCCAGTTTCAGACCTAATTCTGTCCTATCCAGGTTGTTTAGACAGATGCAGGGATGATGACAGTCAAACAGTCTGGTCTGCAAGAATCATGAATTTCTCTTGCAGATGCTTCAAGCACACTTTGCACACAGGGTTCTTGTAGGGTAGGCATGGCACTATTCTAGAGGCAGACCCAGTGCACACAGCAACAGGCAATCAGAATCCAGTGTCTTACAGGCTGGGGATAGGACCATTTAAGAGCCTGGCCCACAGCAGCATTCCAGAAGGTGAATTCTATGTCCTCTTCATACACAGAGTGTAGCTCTGGAATACTGTAGCCAACCCACTTATTTAATTACCACTGATTTCCAGAACTAGAACCCATTTCTAATTTTCATTTGCTAATTAAGTTGCCAAATGTTATCTTCAAGCCCTAATGTTATCTGGGATTGTATGGTTTCTGACTTGAGTGTCACAATTACTCTTTATGTCATCTAGAAACTGTGTAGAAGTATTGTAACACATATTACAGGTCACAGAAGATAGGGTGGCTGGTAGAGGCCCTATAGGGCCAGGTTTGGGGACTGCTGTCTGTGTGTATATTTTCAGCCTTTGTGTTTGTGTACTATCAGAGTGTGTAGAATAACTATATAGATATCTATATATATGAAGAGATGTAACAACAGTTACAAAACTGCATGTGGAGGCTGAGAGAGATGTTCTCTCTTGGTCACCAGTGTAGCGTGGTGACTTTGAGAGTATGTGTGTGTATGTGCATTTTCCTCTCCCATCCTTTGGGCATCATAAGATCTCTGAGATCTCTGGGCCTCTGAGAACAATGCGTGGCCTAACTTGGGCCCTTCTGACCCCAACCATTAGTCCCAGATCCTTGCTAGCTGCAGAGCTGTGAAAATCCAGATCCTTGCCACGAGACTGTCACACAGCTCCTCAGTATACAGACTGGAGGTCACCGAGGGTCCTGCTTTTGGCCTGGTTATCCTGTGATCTAAGGCATCTGGTCTTGCAGGGACCATTGGGCAGGATGGGCAACCAGGCCAACGTCCACTACCTATCTACAGCTGCCACTTTGACCATTGCTGGGCTAGAGTTCCTGTCCTTCACCTGGGCTCTCACCCTCTTTCCCTGCCCTCAACTCCATGGGCCCTTTTGGGGGCCCTGACAGAACCTGCTTCTCATGAGTCCAAGGCAGGCCCTAAGGGTTGTCTTTACCTAATTTGCCCAAGGATGCGGTAGGGGCTAGGGACCCCAGTCCTTGGCCCAGCACTTCCTCACACTCAGACATTCTGATTTTTCCTCCAGTCTCTATTAGCCTCTGCCCTCCTGATTCCCCCTCTCCCCCATCCGTAGTGCTCCCTCAGGGCCCAACCTACATTACCAAGCCCCTGGAACTGGATTCTCCTCAGGACAGGCCTATTAATATCCTTCCCCTAACTTCTTGAAGCCCTGACCTAGGAGTTCAGTTCTCACACACAATAAACCGCACAACCCTCCCCTCAACCAGTACTCATCCTGGGGACCTCTTCACAGCCCCGCCCACCGGAGGCTCAGCCTGCGAGGGAGACTCTAGCCTTCTACCTGTGGGGCTCTCTCCCAGGATTTGCGGCTCCCCCAGCCCCACCAACACATACAAACGCCACAGGCTAAGCCCCGGCGGACCAGCGGGGCCCTCCAGGGCCAAGGGACGCTGGCATCACCCCTGGCCGCTTAGTTTCTCTGTGTAGTTATTTGCGGCTGCGCTAATGTAGATCAAGGAGACAGACCAGACTCAGACTCCGAACTGGGTTCAAATTAAGAGAGCTTTATTAGCTACGCGGCGACTGTCCCATCCTACGCAGAGGAGAGAGCAGCCCCGAGCTCAGGGGAAGGGCTGCTTATATTGGTGTCTTAACCCTAGTTAAGAAATTGGGCTAAAGGTTTGTGAGCAAGCAAGCAAGTACAGAAGCAGATATCTGAGGTTAGCCATTAACGCCTGAGGGATAAATGAACAATACAATGGTTAACTCTGGTTGATGTATATCTCCTTCCTTGATTAATGGAAAATTTTTTTATTGTATGTTCACATAGCATGTGTTTGTCCTTCACACGGAGGCTGTTGCGGCGCGTACTATTCGCAGGCAGATAATAGATTTACAGTAATTTCACAGTTTGGGCGGCCCCCTAGCTCAGGGGCTAGAGCGCTGGTCCAATGAAGCAGGGATCGCAAGCTCAACTCTCGCTTGGACTTTCACCTTCCTTTTCATTATTTCTGCCTTTCTGAGAGGCCGAACCCTGGTGAAGCTTCTTGATCTTTGACTCGCTGGTGTCACCCGCCCAACCGCCCCTCCCTCAGGTCGCTAATCTCTTGAAGAGCCATACTGATCCTTGTGATCACAGATTCCACTGGCCCCGCTCCACTTCTCCTCCGTGGTCCCTCGCTCGATTCCTTCTGCGGGAGTCTTTCCGTACATCTCCGGGGTGGAGGCAGGGGCTCGCCCTCGTCTCTCATTCTTCCTTCTTAGTTGCGTAGAGACCACCTGTTAACGCCGGGTCCCGCCCCCTAGGAACCTACGGTTTTAGCTGGGAGGACGACTAAAAACTCCGGCATAACTCGCCATTGGCCTCACAATCTGGCTTCTATCGTGAGGTAGCCTTCCGGTACAGCAGGCACAGGGGTCAACGAATCCCGGGAGCCCCGGGTACTAAACTCGGGAAGGGAAGCAGGTGCCCGCTCCTCCATGCACCCCACCTACTCCATTCACCGCCTTCTCCCGAATCTACACAGGTTTCCGTGAGTTGTTCTCTCCTCCAGTGCACCAGCTCAGTTCTGTTTTCTCACTCTCTCTCTTTTTTAAATCCCCACCTAAAGATATGTTTTATTGATTTGAGAGAGAGAGAGAGAGAGAGAGAGAGAGAGAGAGAGAGAGAGAGAGAGGAGAAACACGAGAAGCACTGATCGGTTGCCTCCCACACCTGCCCTGCGCCGGGATGAAACCTGCAACCTAGGTATGTGCCTGAGAGGGAATGAAACCCACAACTTTTTTGTTGTACCTGAAGGGGAGGACGCTCCAACCAACCGAGCCAACCAGTCAGGGCCCGGGTTCTGCTTTTTAACCCCTAGCGGCGCTAGAGCGCTGCCGGGAGTCCCCGGTGTCCCCACAGGGGGCTGCGTCTCTCTCAGGGCCTTTCTGAGGGTCCACTCTGGCTGGAGAGAGGGCTCCTGCAGTCTGGGATGGTGGGGCTGGGCATGGTCGCCTGTGCCTCCGGTTAGGTCCCCGGGACAGTGGTGGCAGCGAAGGCCATAGCAGGCGGGCACCTGACACTACCAGCCGGCTACCATCGGGCAGCGCCCCCCTCCATTGTTCCCTGGGGATTTAGGTTCATTTGTGCACTTGATTTCGTTAACAGCATAAATAAATAAATAAATAAATCAAAGTTAGAAGGTCAGCATATATTAATTGTGTGTTTTTTTGCTTGTTTAAAAGAAAATCCTGAATTGTTAAAAACAAACAAACAAGAGTGGAATCTAATGTGACAAATTTATAGCCTTTAGGTCCGGATGTGACTGATGTGGACCTTTGTTTGCACTTAAAAAATAATAATTCCATAGAGAAGAGAAGCAAATGCTTACAACACGGAGGCGATAGTGATCAGGAGGTCGCATGGTCGCGAACAGCAGAGGCGCGCCCACCTAACTTTTAGCGAGTGCGGGGCCGGCGCGGAACACGCCGGGTGGGAAGGGGCATGCAGGCATCGCGGTCCCTAAAGAAGAGGCTGAGAGGAGGAACAGCGAGGGAATGGTCAGCTCAGAGGTCTGAGCAAGAGCACGGATAGTGGCAATGGAGAAAATGATCACCTTTTCCCTAGGAGTGGGTTAACCAACTAGCGTCTCCCAAGCTGTTTTGTAACAACTAATTGGCAGTACAAAAATAAACCTTTGGTCCAGCTCTGAGTGGATTTTGTAGATTTTACAGCAGGGATTCAGAATCACTGTTTTACTCCTAAACAACCAGTGCAATTAAAGTCCTTTGGGAAGAGCAGGTCCTAGACCAGGAATGGGGAGAGAGCCCTCACGGCCCCTGGTTCTCTGGGTAAGGATGGCTGTTCCAGGGCAGTCGCTGGAGGGCAAAGTGCAGGGGCCCTTGCCTGGGAGCTCCACGGGTGCGCGCGCGCACTGGTGCAAGCCTCCGGGCTCGAGGTTCACGGTCATCTAATTTCTGCCTTACACTGCCCTACATTTCCTGAACACGTTACAAATAAGTACGTGTTGTTTTTAGAAATATTTTCACAAAACTATAAAGAAAAGTACCCTTCCCTTTACCAGGCAGCGCACATGAAGAGGCTACCCCCGTTTTCATCTCACCTGTTGGGGCTGAGGACCTAGTCCATCCCACGTCCCCTCGGAGCCCGACACCGGGCTCCCGGTTCACTCCAGGAGCCCACCGGCTCTCCTGGCCTCTGAGTCCGGTTCCTGGGCCTCCAGAGGTGCGCCTTATTTGGTCAGGGGGCTTCCAGTCCCCCAAATCAAAAGGATGTCCCTTCCTGCTGCCTGCCCTAGCAATCAGGCGCTCATTCGGATTCCAGGACATCTCAGAGGGGCGGAGCGGGAATGAGCGTTCGCTCTGCTCGAGCTATGTCCACCTGAGAGTTAACCGTGGGCGTGGAGATGGATGAGAAGGATAGGATAAACATGGGAGATTCAGAAATTCGAGTGGTTTCAATATACTAGAAATAAAAATCCACTTTCCTGGCGGTGACATGACGCCACAGAGAATGAGACTAAGTACTGAATTGCAAAAACAAGTGACAGGTGGCTCGTTGGTCTAGGGGTATGATTCTCGCTTTGGGTGCGAGAGGTCCCGGGTTCAAATCCCGGACGAGCCCGCTCCATTTTGTTAAAATAAGATTTCTTGTTACATGGACAATTTTGGTTTTGGACGGGCCGTAGGAATCACCAAGTTCCGGGAAAGCTGAGTATCCGGAAGAAAAGCGTGTAGAAGAGTGACGGAAGCGCCCCAGAACCTAGAGAGGCCGTGAAAGATTGAGTGCAGAATCTCTCGCGTGTGATGCAATCGATAGTGAGGCCTGTCCTTTCACTCATAGAATTGCGGAAACACCATATCCGCGGTAGGCTTTCCTAGCGATTAATAGTGGAACTGCATATCCACCTCCTGTGGGTTTCTGTAGTGTAGTTATCACATTTGCAACACGCGAAAAGTCCACCTGGCGGAAACAGGCTTTATAAACACTCCGTTTGTCTCCCTACTATTTGAAATTTAACATCGCGGTAAATTTGGAATCCTATGAGATAATCCAGGACATGTCATCATCTCCCCCTGGATACAGAAATGTGCGGTCCTCCAGGGAGAACAGCACCACACTGCTGATTTCCAGCCTCAGCTCATCCTCACCCGTAAAGACCTTAAGCCACCTCATTTTTGGTCAAGGACACTGGTGCGCAGGAGACCGCACAGAGTCCGGCCACTCTGCAGCTGCATGCCCTAAACTGAGTTCTAAACTCCAAGTAAGGGCGGAACCTCCTGCTGGACTTCAATTTTACATAATCCTATTTTTTTTGTGAACCATAGGAAAAAATACTTAGAAGATAGAAGACGCTGCAGTAGTTTGGCGGCGGTGAGATTCTAACCCACACCTCCAAAGAATCTGAAGCCTTAATCCAGCGCTTTAGAACTCTCGACTACACTACCTCATTGATAGGTTCAATTTAGGTGTCTCTTTGCAGTGTCGATAACGTCCCAGCAGCCTCAGGAACATTTTTTTGTATGGAATTTTAAACCAAAAGCAAATAGGCAGAGGAGGTGGTACAGGGTGGACTTTAAGAAATTCCACCCCTCCCCCCCAAAGAAAAAGAAGAAATAAACTGAAGAAGCTTATATAAACATACTTTTGGGTAGCTGTCCAGAGCAACTTCTAAGAAAATTCAGATGACTTTAAAAGAGTCATTTACTCTTACTCACAGACTGCCAGTCTAAGTAATTACAGCAACTATTTAAAATAAAGTGGTTAGCCCAGGTCGGTTTTGCTCAGCGGTTAGAGCGTTGGCCCGGGGACCAAAGAGTCCAGGGTTAGATTCTGATCAAAGGCACTTACCTTGGCTGCGGTTTGGCAGGTCTCTTGCGAGAGACAATCAATTGGTGTGTATTTAAATTAATTAATCAATCAATCAATCAATCAATCAATTATTAATACAAATGTTTCTCCTTTCCCTCCCAATTACACCCTCCTCTCTGCTCCCATTCCCCCCATCACCTTCACAGAATTGTTGTCTGTGTCCATTGGTTATGCATGTATGCATATAAGTGCTTTATCTCTTGCCAACCTCCCACCTTCCCTCCCTCTGAGGTTTGTTGGTCTGTTCCCTACTTCCATGTATCTGGGTCAATTTTGTTTATCAGCTTATTTTGTTCATAATATTCCACAAATAAGTGAGATCATGTGATATTTGTCTTGGCCTATTTCACTTAGCATAATACTCTCCAGGTCCCTCCAGGTCCTTTCAAAGGGTAAGAGATCTTTCTTACAGCTGCATAGTATTCCATGGTGTATATGTACCACAGCTTTTTTTATTCACTCAAATATTGATGGACACTTGGGCTGTTTCCAGATCTTAGCAATTGTAAATATTGCTGCTATGAACACAGGGGTACATATGTTCTTTCTGATTGGTGTTTCAGGCTTCTTAGGGTATATTTGTAGAAGTGGCATCACTGAGTCAAATGGCAGTTCAATTTTTAATTTTCTGAGAAAGCTCCATATTGTTTTCCATAGTGGCTGCTCCAGTCTGCATTCCCACCAGCAGTGTACTAGAGTCCCCTTTTCTCCACACCCTCACTAGTACTTGTTGTTTGATGATTTGTTAAGGGCAGCCATTCTGGCAGGTGTGAGGTGATACCTTACAGTTGTTTTAATTTGCATCTCTCTAATGATTAGTGACGTTGAGCATTTTTACATATGTCTCTTGGCCATTTGTATGTCCTGTTTGGAGAGGTGTCTATTTAGGTCCTCTGCCCATTTCTTAATAGGATCCTTTGTCATCCTTTTGTTGAGTTGTATGAGTACTCTATATATTTTAGAAATTAATCCCTTATCTGATGTATCATTGGCAATTATCTCTTCCATATAGTGGGTTTTCTTTCCCATTTTGATGGTTGTTTCCTTTGCTGTGCAGAAGCTTTTTAGTTTGATGTAGTCCCAAGTATGATTTTTTCCCTTTATTTCTCTTCCCTTTGTATCAGTGACAATTCTGCTGCATGTGATGGCCGATTATTATGGATTCATGAGTCACATTTAAGTCTTTTATCCATTTTGAGTTTATTCTTGTGTATGGTGTAAGTTGATGGTCTAGTTTCATTGTTTTGCATGTAGCTGTCCAATTTTCCCAATACCATTTATTAAAGAGGCTGTTTTTACTCCATTGTATGCTCTTGCCTCCTTTGTCAAATATTAATTGAACATAATGTCTTGGGTCCATTTCTGGGTTCTCTGTTCTGTTCCATTGATCTGAACAATGCCTGTTCTTATGCTAGTAAGAGGCTTTTTTGATTACAGTGGCTTTGTAGTATAACCTGATATCCAATATTGTGATCCCTCCTACTTTGTTCTTCTTTTTCTTTTAATCCTCACCTGAGGACATTTTTCCATTTCTTTTTGTTCAGATAGAGTGGGAGGGAGAGAGAGGAAGAGAGAGAAATATCGATGTGAAATGGACAAACTCAACTGAGGTACATGCCCTTAGTGGAAACAGAACCCGGGTCTCTCTGGACCACAGGCCGATGCTCTAACCACTGATCCAAACTGGCCAGGTCTGTTCTTCTTTTTCAAGATTGCTGGGATTATTCA